TACTGCAACAGGGACCAGTCTAGCATAATATACTAGAGATCGGTGCACCTGTGTATGAACTTCTAGCATATTATGTTGTAACTCCAACACGTGGAAAGTTTCGGCATAATATACTGGAGATTGGAGCACCTGTGTATGAACTTCCAGCATATTATACTAGATCGGTATATTATACTGGAACTCCAGTATAATATGCTGGAGTTCCAGTATACTTATGCTGGAACTCCATTATAATATGTTGGAGTTCCAGTATACTTATGTTGGAACTCCAGTATATTATGCTGGAGTATTTTCCGGATTTTGAACAATATTTTCATGTAAATTTATCTTTACATGAAAAGTGGCTAAATTTCGATTACTTTTGAAACTGTGGCTATTTTAAATGATCACTTGTAAATCTGGCTATTTTTTAATTTCTTTCCCTTTTTACTATTACTAGTTTTGCGGCACGTGCGTTGCACGTGTATGCCAAGTCATATAATATACTTTTTTGTATAATAATATCCATATTATTAATATAAATTAACATAGCACCTCGAAAGCAGTAAAACCCACCCGTATCATTTACTCAATTAGGAGGAACGTTTAATTTGCAACTTTCACATTGATATATTTGCTTATTGAGAGCTAGACCATTTTCAAAGAGAGCCTTTTGAATCAAAGATTTTAATTATACCATTTAATGAAATTTCAAACCAAACTGATACATACGCATTCTCATCAAATCAATTAATTATATTACCCTGGCTCGGAAAATAGGAATAGTCAACCTCTAATATGTAGACAATATGTATCTCATACTTTCCCAAACAACACAGAGAAAATCATTTCTTATGCATCTTCTTTGTCAATCATTTATATGGCAGCGCGCGGTAATTCGTGCAATGGTTTTCAATAAATGCTAACTTTTTAACCTATATAAATATGATCGTATGTTCTCACCAAGTATATAGATATATATGTATTTTGTGCCAATAAATATGGTGTATATAATATATATATATATATATATATATATATATATATATATCATTTTCATGATCTCAAGAATATTATAAAAAAAATAATGCAAGTTCTGATTCATAAATGTCTTGTAACTTTACAAATGATCTTCGATGCTTCTAATTAATTTATATGTAAAAAAATTTATTAGTTCAGCAAAAAGAATAACAAATTTATATATATATATTTAATTGTGCAACATCAAATTATCACTTTAAAAATTACTCCACCCTATAAATCATAGAAGTTGGATTTTAGTAAATTAAAAGAGTAGAAACTAAAATAAATAAATAAATAATAGGGTTAAGAAAGTAGAACTCGGTTATATCGCCAACTTATAACTCATCACCGACTGCAATCTTTAATTGCCATGAACCAAGTGAACAATGATTTTGAAGCAATGTAATTGGCACTACAAACATACTGGAGCGTCGGTTGGAAAATTTGAAAGGCAAAGAACTTTATCCACTTTGCTTCTGCTTTAGAAAATTCTCATAGCATTGTTCATGCAAAATTGCTTTCTTGACTTTCTGTATCTTCAATGTTTTCTTCTAAGGGCTGCCTGTGTCATCCATGATTATCCTTTATTTTTTCAGCAAAATTCTCTCGTTATGTTATAGCCAAAATAAACCATGAGAAAGAAGGATGATCATCAGCCGCATCATTTGGCCAATTTACCGGGAAATCCTTCAAAGTTTAGCCATTGCTTTGAAATAGATTACTGTAGCATGATTCACACTAAGATCACCTTCTGAAAAATCCAATTTCATCACTTTAACCAGCCATTTCAAAATGACCAAGCCGTTGCATTGCAGTCCATAGCGTGCCGTTTCACTTCCTGAAACATTGAATACTGGTTTGTATTTACTTTCATTTAAAAAATTTAATTGTATAAAGAGTGAATATTGGTTAGTGCATAGTACTCAATAAAGAGTGTACATATATAAAGTATGAATATATATAATGAATGTAATAAAAGTTGTGAGTTGTGAAAACTGAAACCTGATCAAGTTATGTTTTATCTCGCCTTTTTATGGGTGAAGTTCTATCTTTTTTAAATCAAACCACCACAATATTAATGATTGTAGATAAAAAATAAAAAATAAAAAATAAATTTGTTGCGGGAGAATGCTCTCCCCTATGCTTTGAGAGGATTGGCATATCAACCTCCAATGAATTTTGACTTAAAATAAGAAGGTTTAAAAGAGCAAATTAATTTACTAAATTTGTACATTACGGACGATCGAAACAAATCGCTGCTGCTTAAATTGTCTAACCATGAAGAATACTATCTTCAATTTGTCCAGTTGGATAAGACCTCGAGTTTCATCTTGAAAGTCTCTCCAAATTTATAATATTGAATGATATAAATTCACATATTCTATTGGAGAAAGTATATTTTGGAAAAGAAAAAAAAATCTAAAGACCACCCAAAATGACTACAGTTTTGCAAATGGTAAAATCACCATCAAATTCGGATAATCAAATGGTATGAAAAGGAATAAAGTTAAGACAGGAGCATGCTTATCATATGCTAGTATATTCTTCAAATTTTTACAGCAAAGTTTGTCATACATAACCTAAACTTAGAAGTCATATGATAAAGTTATGTTGCTTTTTGAATTGTTGATAGATTAGCACATTACTAACATGAATAGTTGATATTCCAAAATTCCCTAGTTAAATAAGAAAAAAAATTAGAATAGATATAAAGCTAATGATTGGTTTATCATCTTTCATCTTTTAAAGAATTTCATCGATTTTTTCAGTAAAATTGCCCCATAAAGTAACAGCTGTATAATTAAATCTATATTTTAAAATTTCCAATTAAATTAACTGTGGTTTGTTATCCATATAGATATAGTATGTGAAATGATCATTTTTCATTGAAATTCGTGATTTTAGCTTGTCTTTTATTTGTAACTATTATCTTTCTTCTCCTGCTGCAACCTTCTCCCATAAGCGGTTCATTGTAACTAATATGCGACCTGTATCTAAAAACATGAGATTAAAATTAGTGATAAGAATCAAGTATTTATGTAAAAAATTGATTTGTTTATTCCTATAAAGATTTACCAAAGATAGTTCCGAAGAATAACATGAGTATATAGTGGGTTCCAAAATTTAACTTCCAGTTTGCAGAATCTTAATGAAAGCACATTATATTAGCATGAGCATAAAAAAATATTCAGATTCCTTTAATAAGATTGACTGCTTACAACACTTATATCTACACACACGGATATGGGTAGAATTAATATAGAATACTTTAATTTAGGCACTTTCTGTAAAGTGGACATGAGTAGACTTATAGAGCAAAAGCGCCTAATTTAATAATTTTATAACATGTCACGTGCTTCAGTTTAAATAAGATCCTTTCAAACGTGGCCGTTTAAAAATAATTTTCAAACAGATTCGAGATCATAGGCTGCATTTTTCCTTGTAAGAGAAAAGGTTGCAAGATCACTGGGCTGTTGTAAAAAAGGTTGTAGGCATTCAGACCATACAACGTCAAACAAACCATCATCAACGAATGTTTTGTCATTGTTATGCTTTAATTTTAGGGAAGATATTTTGTACAGAACATGGTCGCATAGAGCTTTTCCATAGCAGATAGCACCAAGTGAAAGGCTATTACAACAAATTTTAACTCCAAATCCTTCTTTTTGTTCTCCGTGAACACACCAAATACCTACTAAGTTTTATTGATTTAGAGTTGTCATGCTAACCATTTATATTGCAACTAAATCATGAAGATTATGAAGCATTTTGTAAAAGTTTCAATCACCAAATTGCACAACAATAAACAAAGGCAAAAGAGAAATATAGAAAAGTTAGGCTGTAAAAATTAGAACTAAAATAAACTGTATTCAAGCCATGAAAATTAATACTCAATTAAACGCTAGTCATCTCCAAATTTTAACTCTTTCAGACAAAAATCTGATAAGCAAGTAGATTCTAGGAAACTATGAGAAATAGATGACTAATGAACAAATTGAACAATTTGGCGAAGGAGAATTTGATGCCAAACCTCTTGGTTTACCAGAGAAGAGCGAGATTGATAGAGAATACCATAGGGGCTTAATTGTTGGGATATGATCATTAGTTCTCTTCACGTCTGTCACCGAGCAGAGGTGATGCTTGAGTTGTAGCGGGTAATTGTAGGATTTTCTTTTTTAAAAAAAAGTTAGTATGATAAGGGTAAATCTGTAATTTGAATTTCAACTTAAGAACTTCCTGCTTTTAATATATTATTATTATTATTATTATTATTATTATTATTATTATCATATTGTATGGAAGCAATATGATTTTCAAAACTTCTAAGCCTCAAAGAATACCACAATCTCGTAGGACCATTATTTGTTTGGTTTGAATAATACTCAGACTTGCAAATGAATTTAGGCTTCATCATTGGTTTTTAGCCGCATGTTTGTACCGTTTCAAAAACTTTGAAAAATATAAAATCTGGAAATTAAGAAGGTGAAGTGGCACGTCCTCTCTTCGGCCATATACCACAGTTATATTTCCACAGTTATAATCTGGAAATTAAGAAGATTTTTGTCTGAAAGGGTTTTCTCAAATTTTCAGCCTTTTCCATTTTTTTCCTTTGTTTCATTTTTAAAAAGCCACAGTCATTTCTTAAATGACGCCTGTTTTGGAAGGAAAAGGCACCTTTTCGGATGAGGGGTTTTAAAAAAAAATTATTATAAGTAAGAATATTTAGGATATTTAAAAGGGTATTTAAGTAATTTAACTTTTTAACTAAGGGCTTCCCACTTTTATAATAATATAAATTATTATTATTATGATGATATGATTATGATTATGATAGATATAGATTAACACATTAACAATTCCTGGATTATAATTCCCACATACCTCGACCATAAACAACCCGTAATAGTTGATATCAATGAGACAGATTGGACGCTTTAGAGAACTACAGAGGCACTGGTTCTGAAGAATCCCATGCTTGTATGCGCGCACGTTAGTACTGTACATAAAATGGAAGCATGGAATCACTAAACGAGGCTGTAAAAAACTAGTTCTGTCAGAAGTTGGAGAAAATTAACTATAATACAGAACTCTACTTTTTGAGTATACATTATCATGGGAACACCATGACCAAAGAAAACTCTGGAAAGTGATCAAAAATTGCAGTAGTGAATTTTGTTCAAGTCCCCAACAGGGCTTTTTGATGAAGTACAAAGATTTTCATTGTTCTGACTGTCCAAAATAGCTGCCAGATATTGTGATCAACATATTTAGCATAATAACTTCATCATCGAGTTTGGACTTGTCAGCTCTCAAGGTTGCACATTTCCGGAGTAATGACCGCAGCGCTGCACATGTATCGGCATCAAGAGGAGTATCAACCGCAGTGCACAGAGCAAACAACCATAAGCAGTCGTCCCTTGAAAGAGTGGTCATGCTTTGTACAGCTGTAATTCTCTTCCTTAACATTGTAACGCGAGCTACAGCATCCATTTGTAAGATAACAGATACGGTAGGGCCGTTGACAAATTTTTCGGCAAGAGATGACATAGGTATGGAATTTCCCAAGGCAGAATCATCACCAGCATCACATAGGTAAGACTCGTCTTCACCTGGCATTAAAGCATCAAACTTATCCAGAATAATGCTCTCAGGAAGCTGATTTGAAGAGTGTTCTTGATCAACAAAAGTTGCAGAATGCAGCTGGCTGGAAGTTCCAATATTAGCTGGCAAACGTGATAAATCCTGAAACGAACCACAAGTTCCTTCCATTAAAAATATATATAAAGTGTGTCAGGAGCTATGTTGCTCAGATTCTCCGAAAATATGGCAAGATACGTGTCGGATCCTCCAAAAATAGTACATTTTTGAAGGATCCGACACGGGTGCGGCTACATTTTGGAGAGTCCATGCAACATAGGCCAGGAGCACCTACCAGCACCAAAACTCAATAAAAACAAAGCATTTCTGATCATATTTTCAGGGGGAACGAGCAGAGCTCGTAATATGATACTTTGACACTTGGATGACTCAAAACAACTATTGCATTTCCATTTCTAAAAATACTTCAAGCAACTATGCAGAAAATACCTGTCTTAACTCTGAAAAATCAGCAAGGAATGCTTCCTCCCACTCCTTGAGCGGTAACAAGTGCTCTAGACAGCTTGCAATATCAGGAATTTGGGGCATGTAATACGTATGTTCTTTGTTAGGTCTACTGCCTTCAACCTTTGCAACCTTCACTTTGGGCAACTGTGATGCTTCCCACCTAGGACAATTTCAGCATACATATATCATTTTAGAGTCAACTTAACATCATGGCCAGCCAAAAAGGTTACAGAAAATGAGGAAATTTGGAAATACAAAGTATATAGCTAACTTGTAAAAATATCCACCAAGTCTCAAAAGGTGTTTAAAATTTAGCTAACAAATGCTCACTGAAAGTACTCATAAGATTGCCAAACAAAGCCTCTCTTTTAGCTTTAACTCGAATCAAGAGCTTCACTCTGCCTGGGCATAAGTGTAAAATACATCAGGTACATTACTGTTGACCAAGAGTTTAAGACTGAAAAATTAGAGGGGGACAATAAGAGTCACGAAAGATGCTTAGCATTCCTATTGTGGCAGAGAAAAGAAGGCACGGTCAATTAGGCAGCAGAGCTGAAAGCTCTTGAGAAAATTCAGTGTCTCCCCTACTCCCTGCTCCTTACCGAAGCAAACGTAGCATAAAAGTGGAGTTCACAGGACAGCAATTGACGACTTGACGTATGCCGTTGCATATGACTGATTGAGCATGTAAGGAAAGGGGATATGAAGGTGGAACGGAAAGCTACTGAGAGAATGCCCAACTTCTCTCTAGAATTCCAGTATGCCAGTTTTGTCAGAAAACCCTTTCTTTGGTTTTCTCCAATCATCTCTTAAAGTGATTGGTTAAAAACAGAGTTATTAATGATGGAAAGAAGAATTTATTTCATAGCTGGTAACAAGTCTTATGACAGTGAAGCATGATACGATTGGGTTGAAAGAACAGAAAACTCCATATGCCATATGGAATTTTCGCAAAGCTTCAGAGGGACGTGAAGCATAGTTGTGTACAAGGCAGCAGAAGTGTAATCATTCTACTGGAAGTTGTAGTGTTGTACACGGTTCAGGGTAGAATGACTTGGCAACAAAGATTGAGTCTCTCATGGGGAAAGGTGAGGTCTTCAGAAATGAGAAAGATTTAGACTCAACTACATTCCCAGAGGTGGTGAAAAAAAACAGATGCTCCTAAAAAGAGAACAATCCGGATTTCAACAGAAACATTAACAAAGGTGCCCTAGGTGATAAAATTAAGGTCCATGGCAACATCATTCCGTCGCCTGATTTTCTGAGCAGATGCCTTGGTAGTTCATTTGAAGAAAACCAAGAATTGCCTATATGTTTGGACATGCACAGGTGGGTGTTGAATAGATGGATAATCCCAGGGAATCAGGTATTCGATATGGGATGTTGGAAGCACCTTGCATCTCTCTGATAACAAGTGAAAGCACTATAGTGAATGCAAAATATGAAATTGCATTTTCTAGAACAAAAATCTTAAGGATAAAATAAGATAATTGCAATGCAATTAACTCAAAAATTTAAAGGAATAGCTAACAGAAAAGGTTCATCCAGCTCTAGACCGACTTCAAGCACAACTTGTCATCCTAGATCTAAGCCTTATTCTTTTTAATTTCTGCAACAACCATAACATTGACCAACCATAGGCTAAGAGCAACCCTATTAAAGACAGATAGAAGATGATACCTGACACGCCGAAGATACTCAAGTCCATCTTCAGGAGGACCAGAATCGAAGTCCGGCTCTCCTGTAACTATAAAGGCAGGTCTTTGAATGCTACTATAATCATCATCGCTATCATCACTTTCTTCATTAACATTGCATTCTTGATCATGCAAGTGCTCTGAATGGTCATTACCTGAAAGGCATAAACAATTACTTACATACATTCAGCTACTTCTATTACAGGACTCACTAAATCCAGAAAATCAACTAATAGATCATCCTCAAACAAATTTCATGTCAAGTATTATTCACTTCAAATGCAAATGATATTTCATCAATTCACTCACTTTACAACTGCAAGTAGACCACGCATTTTTTTTTTGATAAGGTAAAGGAACAAGTAGACCACACATTTACACCAGCAGTCTATTTTCCAGTGTACTACTTTCTACTTACATAAACGATACACATAAACACATCAGCATTCTATCTACCACAGTATCAACGTTTCAATTACAAGAGCTAGCTATCTACTCAGAATCATCACTGTGGTCAGATATGAGCAAATAAGGAATAAATGTTCATCCCAAACACTTCTCTGTACAGCAGAGGTATTGCACAATGGTTAGAAATGCTCTTCCCTTCAACCCTTTATCTCAAACTGGGTACATTTAGTAAAGACCTAATGGCTAGTTAAAACACGAAGTCTTTCAGATTCCTAATTGTCATGTTTCTTGAATCATATGAAAAATCCTCGTAAGAAAACACATGTACGAAACTCCTTTATATAAGCTTTAGAAATGAAACATATATACATTTTGAAGATCCTAAATATTAGCTAAATCTTTTCACAAAAAAATAACCAAAGAACATAATTTACCAAAAAAGTATTTTTTTTTTTTAAATCTCAAAGTAATAGGAAAGCCATTGCGGAAAAAGGAAAACTGTTTCGGATAAATAAATCTAATTCTAACCTTCAAATTCGGTCTATGTCGTATTTAAAAAAACCTAACAGGCAAATTCGGTTTGAAGTATCGTATTCACAACAAACACTAGCAGTATTATATATGACGGCTATGTATAGACATAAAACATAGGATCAAATTTTGGGTATACATATTTTATTATATATAGCTAACCTACTACATGAAGGTAGTAGGTTAGCATTGTACCCATTTTTGAATTCACTAAAATAACCCCTGCTACCTCGTTAAAATAGGGACTTTCAGGGGCTTTAGCCTAAACTCTCCAATTTCCCTCCTTACAATTCCCAAACTCATCTTCTCTAATGAAAATCCGCCTATTTCACTTCTAAAGGCTCCTCTCCCAATTTTTAGGAGTGAAATAGGCGGATGAAATCAGAGAAGATGGGTTTGGGAATTTTGGGAAGGAAAATTTAGGCTAAAGACTAGAAATCCCTTAACAGTCCATATTTTAATGAAGTTGCAGGGTTAATTTAGTGAATTAGAAAATGGGTATAATGCTAACTTACTACTTTCATGTAGTAGGTTAGCAAGACCTATATATACATATATGCGTGTATATATACATATATGTGTGTATATATACATATATGTGTGTACATATGTGTGTACATATATGTGTGTATGTACATATGTGTGTACATATATGTGTGTATGTACATGCATTATTGGAATATGCCACCAATAAGTATAAAGAAAATCATTTTCAAGTTTTTGTGGTAATCCATGGATCGAAAAATCAAGAATTCATGAGAGTTGTCAGTATCATGCAGTGAAGAATAAAGAAGTCAAGCTTCGGCCACGAAATAAATAAAAAAAAAAAGGAAGAGTGAAACATAAAAGCAAAATTTTAGGTTTTTCTAATGAATAAGCCGAGTTTCACTGATGAAAGCCAGCATTTTTAAAATGCTGGTGGAAAACACAGCCAAGGATTTACATGAATTTCAATTTGCTGATGAAACCAAGAAAGCGGCGTATCTGAAGCTGGTGGAGAGCAAGGACGAGGAGGAGACAAGGAAGAATATGGAGTGGTACAAGAAGACCAAGAAGGAGGTAAAGTTAGCGGTTACGGCAGCTAAGACTACAGGGTTTGGATGTTTGTATGAGGAACTTAGGGACAGAGGCGAGGACAAGAAGCTGTACAGGCTAGCCAAGGTGAGAGAAAGGAAGACTCGTGACCTGGATCAAGTGAAGTGCATTAAAGACGAGGATGACAGAGTATTGGTGGAAGAGACACATATCAAGCGCAGGTGACAGACTTACTTCCATAAACTCCTAAATGAGAGAGAGACAGGGACATCATGTTGGGTGATTTGGAGCACTCCGAAAGTTGTCGAGATTGGGGTTATTGTAGGCGTATTAAAATTGAGGAGGTCGAGGGAGCTATGCGTAAGATGAGCAGGGGGAAAGCGACCGGGCTAGACGAAATTCCAGTGGAATTTTGGAAGAGCGTGAGCAGGGTAGGCTTGGAATGGCTCGCTGGGTTATTTAACATCATTTTTAGGACGACAAAGATGCTTGAAGAATGGAGGTGGAGTACGATGATTCCGCCATACAAGTACAAGGCTGATGTCCAAAATTGCAACAATTATAGGGGTATCAAACTGTTGAGACACAATATGAAAATTTGGGAGAGGGTGGTGGAAGCAAGGGTAAGGAGGAGTGTGTCTATTTTCGAAAACCAGTTCGAATACATGCCAGGTCATTCGACTACAGAAACAATTCATTTTGTATGGAGGTTGGTGGAATAGTATAGGGAGAGGAAGAAGAGCACATGGTATTCATTGATCTAGAGAAAGCATACGATAAAGTCTCAACGGAGGTCCTATAAAGATGTTTGGAGGCTAGAGGTGTTCCTGTAGCGTATACTAGGGTGATTAAGGACATGTATGAAGGACCTAAAACTCGAGTAAGGACAGAGGGAGGGGACTCGGACCATTTTCCAGTTGTGATGGGATTGCACCAGGGGTCCGCTCTTAGTCCATTTTTATTTGTTTTGGCGTTGTATACACTGACGCGTCACATTCAATGGGAGGTGTCGTAGTGTATATTATTTGCGGATGATATTGTACTGATTGACGAGACGCACAATGGTGTAACGCGAGACTGGAAGTTTGGAGACAGACCCTAAAGTCTAAAGGTTTCAAGTTAAGTAGGACCAAGATAGAATACTTGGAGTGTAAGTTCAGTGATGGGACCAGTGGAGCGGACGTGGACGTGAGGCTTGATACACAACTCATCCCCAAGAAAGATAGTTTCAAGTACATTGGGTCTATAATTCAAGGTAATGGAAAGATTGATGAAGATGTTACACATCATATTAGTGAGGGATTGGTGAAATAGAGGCTCGCATCCGGTGTCTTATGCGATAATAATGTGCGTCATAAACTTAAAGGTAAATTCTACAGAGTAGTAGTTAGACCGACTATGTTGTATGGGGCAGAGTGTTGGCCAGTCAAGAACTCTCATGTCCAGAAAATGAAAGTAGCAGAAATGAAGATGTTGAGATGGATGTGCAGGCATACCAAGATTGCTAAGATTAAGAATGAGGATATTCGAGCCAAAGTAAGAGTGGCCCCCATGGAGGACAAAATGCGGGAAGCGAGACTTAGATGGTTTGGGCATGTGAAGAGGAGAAGCGGAGATGCCCCGATAAGGAGGTGGCAGATGCCCCGATAAGGAGGTGTGGGAGGTTGTTCTTAGTGGGTCTTAGAAAAGGCAGAGGTAGGCCAAAAAGTATTGGGGAGAGGTGATTAGGCAAGATATGGATTTGCTTCAGCTGACCAAGGACATGACCCTTAATAGGAAGGTGTGGAGGTTGTTCTTGGTGGGTCTTAGAAAAGGCAGAGGTAGGCCAAAAAATATTGGGGAGAGGTGATTAGGCAAGATATGGAATTGCTTCAGCTGACCAAGAACATGATACTTAATAGGAAGGTGTGGAGGTTGAAGATTAAGGTTGTAGGTTAATAGGTAGTTGTGCGGGTTTTCGAACATTTCCAGTGTTATTAATGGCAGTCTTGTATTCTAATATTGTAGATTTCTATCTTTATGTTGTTCCTTTCGCCTTGTTTTCTTTTATTTTGTTCTCGTTATTGCTTGTCGCTACTGCTTTATTCACATTTTTCCTCGTGCCGAGGGTCTACTGGAAACAACCCCTCTACATTCACGGTATGGGTAAGATCTGCGTACTATCTACCCTCTTCAACCCTCTTCAGACCGCACTTGTGGGACTATATTGGGTTTGTTGGTGGTGTTGTTACAGTTTGCTGATGAAATCAAGTACTCCTGGATCATCATATGTAATTTTACATCTTGTAGATGCTTTTCTTTTACATAATTTTCTTATTTACCGATCAAAATTGAGAAGAGAAAAACCAAAACAAATTAAATTTGGCTGGACTGCATGTTCCTACATCGATTTAAATAGAATGAGCTCCTGTTCTACATTTGAATAACCTTAGAAAGAAACACAGAGATTCAATAATCCAACCTGTCAATCTCTTAACGTAGTACCACCATGCTGATTAGAAATGAACACTATTTAACAAAGAATGAGGGTCCTATTCAGTTTAGGTCTAGGATATCCATAAGATTATAATTCTGGCATAACCATGGGATTATCTATCTCACCTTCTATACTATATTGTATTAGCTAATACACACAATCAAACATGGGATATAAGTATAATCCGAATTTTATACCGTGATTAATATCTTTATCCCGGTAACCAACTGACCCTGAGAGGTTTAACTATCAAAACTTCCAACTATATTACTACTAGCTAAACTTCACAACATAATTATTTCTATTAGTCTCCACAAAGCATCATGTAATCTAAGTTGCTGAGAGAAGGGTAAAAAAACTTACCAGAAATTGCAGGGGTATTTTCTTTTCCAATGTGTCTACGAGGCCGGCGGATGTGCTTTTGAGTATAAGAATCAACGAGGCCATCGTACTCCTTTTGCACAGTATCATCAAGCCCAATGTACACCTCAGCCCACTTTTTCCTCTGTTCTTCCATTCCAATAAACCTCAAAATTTCCAACTCCTTTCTACAATAAACCCTTTTCTCTTCTCCTCCTCCTTTCCTCAAATTCTTTTCTTTGGCTTCTTCCATATTACTATGTTTTGCTTTTCTTGCCACCGTTTTTTCTCCATTCTCTTTTTCCACTTGATGAATTGCATTATTTTTCTTCCTATTTCTTGCTGATTTCCTATCAAAACCCCTCAATCTTTGATCAACAGTGCAACTTTTTCCAACTTGAGAGATATCAAACATTGATGTATCATCAATTACTTCAATCTTCAGTGAACACCGCACAGTCCCGTCATCTTTGGACCCCAACAAATTCTCTTCAATACTCCCCTTGTCTTCTTCTTTATTGATGGATTCATCAGCCAATATTCCACATTGGGTCAAAAAATCTGTAACTTTGGGCACAAGGGTATTGTCTTTGACTTCAGAGGCACCCAAATTGAGATTACAGCCGATATCATCAATGCTTGTCTTCTCTGTGAAAGAATGGGAGTCGGTTTGAAGTTGGTGTCCTTTGATGTTGGAAGAAACAGAGTGGGACTCTGTGGAAGCTGAAACAGCATGAGAATCGAAATCGTCGGACATGGAGTGATAGCGGTAAAATTTTGTTAGGGGATTTGGGGTTTTGGCAAAACCCCTTTGAACTATACTCGTGTTAGGTTCCTAAAACCCCTAACTATATTCCCTTAGTATGAGCTCTAGTTAATTATTATGGCTATTAAATTGCCTAACAATGTGTAATGACTAATTAGTGTGAGCTTTTTTAAAAATTAGTCTTAATATATGCGTGTTGCGCTACTAAGTTACTAATTTTATCACAAATGATCATAGAGATATCTAAGTTTTTGAAAATAAAAAATATCATTCTTATATACCAAACTCACTAAGGGGAGAAATTACTACATACAAGTTCTCAATTATCAATATATTAAAAATATCAATCAATATACAAATACTGAAAAAAAAAATAAAAAAATAAAAAAAAAATCATCATTTTTTTAAAATGGCATTTGTTCGAAAATTTCTCTGTGTGTGTTGATTTGGGGGTATGTAATTCCTTTTTTTAAAATGTTCAATTTTCTATTATGAAATTATTCCTTTTTTTTTTAAAGTATATTTTATTAAAAGAAACATTACCTTAAGATTATAATAAGTCGAGTAGTTACTTAATTATATGTATTGTAATTGCTTTTTGGAGACTAAAATAATATTGAAGAATAGGTAATTATCACAAACTTAAAGTTTTACGATACAAAGAAAGCCAATGTTTTGCTAATTTACCAACAAAAAAATAACGTCTAAATCTAAAAAGAATTGAAAGTAGACGAAGTTACTAATGTAATTTTCATGTGTTGTTATTTTTCTTTTTCAAATTTATTATATTATGTAGTTCAAATAAGGAAGAATTTAATATCCCAAATAAAGTTGATTTGAAGTCCTAAATATTAGAGAAATAATTAAATATTTATTCCTAAATATTAAGAAAATAACGAAATGACTATTTTATCTAATGTAAAATTAATTTTTAAAGGGTAAAAAGGCGAACGACATTTCGCTAAGGGTCTTTATGCTTTTAATATAGTATAGATTAGTTTCGCGACACATGTATGCCGAGCCATATAATATATATATTTTTTCTAAAATAACATTAACATTATTAAAACAAGGCTTTGAGTAAGTAAATATATCTAGAAGAATAAAACACAAATTTCTGTAAATGATGAATGTGGATCGTCGAATAATAACTTATTAGAATTAGGGGTGTACAAACTGAACCGGAAAACAGCACAAAACTGAAAAGTCAAACCAAAACGATTAAAACCCCCGATTAGGTTTGGTTTGATTTGGTTTGGTATTGAGTTAAAAAACCTGAACCAAACCGACATATAAATATATAATTTTAACAATATACTTATAAGACTTTATAAAAATTCTAGAAATATTTGGGATTATCTTGTGGAATGTAATATTTAATAGAATATGAAGTACTCCATTTTTCTTAATCTTAAATAATGCGTTATATGATCACTTTCTTATCAAGTGTTGTAAGCACGTGATTTTTATCCTATATGAGAATTACTCCCAAAAAATTCAAAAATAAAATGATTTTTCTTGGTGTGCAATTTTGTGAGATTTTGTGATATTTTTGGATAATTATTTGTATTTTTCTGTGCATGTTTATTTGTTAAATTAATAAAAAAATATAAAAATATGTCGCATTTTGCATGTAGGATTTAATTCTACAATTTGTTAGTAATTATGTTTGTTTACAAAAAATGAAAATTACAAAAATAAGCATCTTTTGCATTTTAAGCATTTAATGTCCAAATATACAATTTTATGCTTAATTATTACTTAATTGTG